CCAACACTTTGAATTGTGCTCGGAAACATACTGGGAGCCAATGTAGGTCTTTCAAGACCGATGTTATGCGGTCTTGGCGGCCGCTCCCAGTCATCAGTCTAGCTGCCGCATTCTGGATTAGTTGTAGTTAAATTAAGCCTTGTGGCTTTGGAAGTCAGGGAACTGGGAGCTAGTTCTCCCCTTCCCCCAAAAAAATTGTTCACCAAGTCATCCTTCTTCTTTCTCACAATACAAATGATATTGTGCCCTACAAGACAGACAGATTTGGGGACTGGATACTTCTTAAATGCCTCCCCCCCCCCCCAAAAAAATCCTATTTTCCTTTGGCAGACACTGAGGGCTGAGTCCTTCCTTCTCTCACCCCCCACCCATCTTTCCACGCCTAAGAATGTGCAGAAATTTTGATGCAAAGCATCGAGGCATCTCCAAAATTACACCTGCTTCCTTAGTCGTCTTTAAAAAAAAAAATCTTGCCAATGTGTTAATTAGCCTCTCAAGCAAGCCTGTTCTCGTTTGACAGCGCGAGCCAGCGCACTTCAGGAATATTATGGGTTGCACGAAAGCTTGTGACAGGGGACATGTGTGCACCTGCGATGCTGTTAGCCAAGTCCCATGCTGAGCTCGGACTCTCTTGCGGCATAGGGCAGGCGAGTAGCTGAAGAGCCCTGCAGGGCTTGAGCGCAGCAGAAATACTTTCCACTCATGTGGTTTCTGACAGCTAAAATTCAGAAGCCTTTCTGCCTCCAAGCGTGGAGCTGGACCATACAGGTCAGATGACAGCCTTCACCTCCGCACATTTGTCAAATCCTCGTTTATAGCTTAGAAGTAGCGAGTTGACCTGCACACTGTGTGAAGAAACCCTTCCTTTTGTGCAAAGGCATTGCCCTCAATGAGAGACAAAGGGGCGATTTCTAGCTCAGGAGGAAATCATTCGTTCCGTGCACAGAAAGTCTGCGAGTTCAATCTCCAGTTAGGGTTGGGGAAAACTTCTCTGTCTGAAACCCACTGCCAGCTAGCGAACGCTGTTATGCTGAGCTAGGTGAACCAGGCTCTGACTCAGAATAAGACAGCTTCCTATGTTCCCAATTGAAACATGAGGACTGGGGCCTTACTTTATTTTAACAGGGAGATCTCCAGCTCAGAATGCGGCAGCTAGACTGGTGACTGGGAGCAGCCACCAAGACCATATAACCGTGTTCTGAAAGACCTACATTGATTTGTGCTCGGAAACGTACTGGGAGCCAAAGTGTCGGTGCTGACCTTGAAAGCCCTAAATGGCCTCGGCCCAGTATACCTCGTCTGTACCCCCTTCGTTAAGCCTGGACATTGAGGTCCAGCTCCGAGGGCCTTCTTGGTAGTGGCTCCCGCCCAGTGGAACGCCCTCCCATCAGATGTCAAAGGAATAAACAACTATCTGACGTTTAGAAGACATCTGAAGGCAGCCCTGTTCAGGGAAGTTTTTTAATGACTGATGTATTAATGTATTTTTAATCTCCTGTTGGAAGCCGCCCAGAGTGCTTGGGGAAACCCAGCCAGATGGGCGGGGTATAAGTAATTCAAGGAAATAAGCAACTATCTGACTTTTAGAAGGCATCTGAAGGCAGCCCTGTTTAGGGAAGTTTTAAATGCCTGATGTTTTATCATGTTTTTAATATTCTGTTGGGAGCTGCCCAGAGTGGCTGGGGAAACCCAGCCAGATGGGCAGGGTATAAATAGTAATTATTATTATTATTATTATTATTATTATTATTATTATTATTATTATTATTATTATTATGTGGCTGCTACCACTAGGTCTACAGACAGCCTCTCGAGTGGATGCTTCCGAAAGAGAGCCAGGCAAAATCAAAAGCTACCAGTGGTTATGTGTAATATTAACAACGCAGTCCAACCAACAATGCATGTTTGCTAGATAGGCATGATAGTAGTTGAAGCTCAAAGAGTTTTCTTCTAAATTTGCTAGAGAGCACTCTGAGCGCCATTCCCACCTGTGCCCTGACACCGGGAGGGTATAGCCACATATCTCCTCACCTGGTTAGGCAGTTCCTCTTTGCTCATCCACCTCATTCCATCTTAAGACAGACTTTGAACTAACTGAATTACCATTTTAAGCCTGCCTGAACCAAACTGCTGTGTCTGTTACTCTTCAGCAAGCATTCTGAGTGAGTAAACGTTATTTTCTACCTTTTACAGGATGGTTTGTGTGGTTTTCGTTTTAAGAAAAGAGGGAAATACCAGGAGAATCCAGCCTGCCTTAAAACATCCTGGATTACTTGAACTGAAAGGCTAAAACTCACCTACCTAAGCTTCCCCTTTCAGCTACAAAGTGACGCATTCTGCTGAACACAAAAAAGCGAGAAAGGAAGGATAATATGTAATAAATATATCCTCTCCTAGCATCTATGCACATCTCTACAAGTTAGATCATGGGTAGGCAAACTAAGGCCCGGGGGCCGGATCTGGCCCAATCGCCTTCTAAATCCAGCCTGCGGAGGGTCCAGGAATCAGCGTGTTTTTGCATGAGTAGAATGTGTCCTTTTATTTAAAATGCATCTCTGGGTTATTTGTGGGGCATAGGAATTCGTTGTTTTCCCCCCAAAATATAGTCGGGCCCCACACAAGGTCTGAGGGATAGTGGACCGGCCCCCTGCTGAAAAAGTTTGCTGACCCCTGGGTTAGATGGCTGTGTACCAACTCCCATAGTGGAAAATAGGAAGGTGCCTTACATCAACTCAGACCATTGGGTTCATCTAGCTAGTATTGTCTACACTGACTGGCAGCTGCTCTCCAGGGTTTCAGGCAGCGCCCTCTGCCAACTCTACCTGGAGATACCCGGGGATAGACCCTGGGAGCTTCTGCATGCAAAGCAGGTGTTCTAGCAGTGAGCTGCAGGGCTCTCTGCCAAAATCTCTTCTTTTTTTAACACCGAGTTCTTTGGAACAGGCTCTCTAGATTTCACCGGTGACAACCCAAGTGGTGGAAATTTTATTCCGGTATCTGCAGAGTGTGCAAGCAGCCTGCAAAACGCTGCGTCCTTCCAAACAACCTGTAGAGAAGTAGATAACAGCGGCCACCTTTACCGCCGCGAAGACAAGCAACTGCCATGTGAAAACCAGCTGGCAACTTCTTCATACACCCCCACAAAAATTTTCCTTGATGGAAATTGTCCTGACCGCCCCCCTCCCTCACCCTCAGAGATCTTCTCCTGGTGTATAACTCAAAGCCAGTGCTGGACATAATTTAAAAGATTCTCCTCCACTTTGGAAGATATTTATTGGCGGGTCAAATGCAAACTTGCCCCATTCCTTCACTGGGAAAGGCCATTTTTGACGGCTCTCTAATGGGCTTTTGCAAAAAGAGTCGTAAACCAAAGCTCTCCCCGTTGCAACAGCACAGCACGCGAGAGAACTCTCAAAGCATGGAGGTGCTTTCAAGAGTAGTGTTCTGTCATGTATTCTCAGCACGCAGCGCCGTTTCCGTTCTGTTGCAGCTGGCCTTCTGTGGAAAAATTACATTATTTATCTCCCTGTCTCGTACGAAGAAAGGTCGCATTGTTTGGGACTTACGTGCCTTTTCTCGAAACAGAAGAGGTGGCACGAGAGGGGTTTATACAATCTGGCATGCCGTGAAGGAAGTGTGTAAAGAAAAGCTTTTCCTAGCTCTCTTCTAACACTGGAACTTGCAGACAATGAAGCTGAATGTTCAGGAGTGATGGAAGAAAGCCCTTCTTCACACAGCACATAGTTAAACTGTGGAACTCACTGCCACAAGGTGCAGTGACGGCCGCCCACCTGGATGGCTTTAAAGGGGGGATTGGGGAAATTCATGAAGGAGAAGGCTACTAGCTCTGCCCACCACAACTTCTGCCAAGTTACAGGGAACCAGGCAGAGGGCCTTCTCGGTGGTGGCACCCGCCCTGTGGAACGCCCTCCCACCAGATGTCAAAGAGAACAACAACTACCAGACTTTTAGAAGACATCTGAAGGCAGCCCTGTTTAGGGAAGCTTTTAATGTTTATTGGGTTATTGGATTTTAGTGTTCTGTTGGAAGCCGCCCAGAGTGGCTGGGGAAACCCAGCCAGAAGGGCGGGGTATAAATAATAAGTTATTATTATTATGGATACCTGTCGCTGGAAGCCACAAGACAATAGAGTGCTCCTGGGTTTGGGTCTTTCTTGTGCATCTGGTCAGCTACTGTGAGAAAAGGGTGCTGGACTAGACGAGCCATTGGACCTGATCCAGCAGCGAGCCTCTAATGTTCTGAAAAACCTCACCCAAGCTCTAACAGTCCCTGCGCACCCCCCCTCCGCGGACCAGCTTCTGACGTGAGCATCACTCCATATGGTGGCGACTGAACGCGTTCTGAGCCCATTTGTATGTCGAAGAGGGAATAAACAGCAAAAATGCACAAGCGACACCCCCCTTCCTTTCCCTCACGCCTGCCTGCCGCTCCCCCCCCCCCTTTTGATGGAAAACATTTAACAGCTACGTTGAGGTTCCATTTCCTGAAACCACATACGCACAAACACACACACACACTCTCTCTCTCTCTTGCATTACCTCCCGCAAACCATCTTCCTCCTACTTGGCCGCGCCATCTGTCCTAATTGTCCTGGGCAAATGTTTCCTGAGGAAAAAATGGGGGGAGAGAGAGCTCATCTTCCCCAAACCCACAGATTCTGGGGCATCATAGATAGGGAAAAGGTGGAGAAAGGGAGGGAAGTGAATTTCTTTTTTAAAAAAATAAATCTGGAAGGAGTTCAGCAATCATCAATTTTAATTATAATGCCAGCTCCATCATTTATTTTTTTTAATTAAATCTACTTGATGGGTGCTGCATTTTTCCTTTTTTCTTTTTCATCGTCTCCCCTCATCCAAGAAAGGAACCCACAATCCATAAGATGAGACCTTCCGCCGCCGCGCTTACAAAGAAACCATCCGAAATTTAAAAAATTATGGGTGTTGAAGTGTATGTAAGTACATTTAGCTGGGCAACGGGGGTAGGATATAATCTGAGTTTATTTTATTTTATAAATAGCATGTTTCCCCCTCCAGGTTAGAGACATCCCAAATCATTTTGCCCCTCCTTTAGATTAAAAAAGAAGAAGTCTCTCGCCTGTCTATCTCCTCTTTTTTGCACATGAATGGAATCAACTGCCCCCGACTCCAATTCTGGGTTTGTTCGTTTTTTTCTGTATCTCTTCCGCTTCAGTTCATGTCTAGGGTATGATATCCACCATCACTCCCAAACATCATAGATTGTAGACAGTTCCCTAGGCTGTAAAGGCCCACGGGGAAGGAGTCTTGGAAGATATGTGGGCTTTTTGCAGTATTGTAAAGGACACTTTCACACATATTGGCCTGAAGAAGAAAGTCCTTGTTATAAAAAGAAAAGAAAGGAGGAGGCAAGTCTTTTCTTTTTGATCGGTCTGAAGAGGCAAGTCTTTTTTTTCCCCAATTGCCCCAGCCCTTTTCTCCCTCGTTACACATTTATGCACAAACGCAAAAGGGAAGGTGAAAGATTGTTTGAGGTGCCATTGCACGACTGACGCTCAGCAAGCCACACGTGTTTTTGCGGGTCACCAAGTCTGCATCGCAATCCACTGCAAACCTTCTCCTAGGCGGGCCGTTCACCTTGGCCTCTAGTCGCCAACACACTGTCAACAAAACATTCACCAGTTGAGAAGGTGGGCCCAAGGGAGACCCACCAACGAAGCTATAGAAATCTCTTAGACGTGGGACAACAAAAGATCTCAGGTTCTTGATCCATAATGTCCAGTACAATTCCTTGAGGGGCAAGGACATTCTTGTAGACAAAGCCTATTTTTAAAAATAACCATCCAAGGATCAAGCTCATTTTAAGAAAACGGCTGCCATTTTGTTTTGTCTGCGATATAAATATGGAAGGGCAGGCTTTTCCAAAGTCACTCCCAGCCCCCTTGGGATTAGAAGGAACCGGAAAACCCCCACAAGCTCCACCTCCTTGATGTCATTTCCTGGTTGTCTCGAGGGCCGCCATTTTGGAGGGAGCACAGGTGAGACGCTCTGTCTCCCTGAGCGACAGCCCACCGCTGTCTGCGCACCAACCAGGCCCCCATCGCCCAGTTTTGGGGGCAAAGGTAACAGTCACGGCCTCCAACCCCCGGCTGCTTTCACTGCATGGAGATGTAGGGCCAGTTGAAGCTGGACCCGGAAAGGAGCATGTCTCGAATCAGCGTCTCGATGGGGGTCTTGCCTACCAGGCGCACAAAGAAGAGTTGCTCGATGACAGGGGCGGAGACAATGCGCAGAGAGGGGAGGCGGAGAAGGAGGCGCCCAAATCGGCTGGGCTGGTTGGGGTACTGGTTCCGGACGTACTCTTCCAAGGCACACTGGGACTTCTCCTGGACGTTCTCCACATGGCACAAGTCCGTCAGCCCCACAGCATCTGCAAGGGGGAGAAGGAAAGAAGGTTCGCACGGGAGATCAACTGATCGGCGTGAGAGCCCAGCTGCTGGATCTGGCTAGAGAAGATCCTATCTAGGTCACATCCTATTCTCTTCTTTTGTATATGATTTTTTATTATTTTCCTTATACATACTGTTACAGTCCTCATACATACTTTTACAGTACAATACAATAAATCACAGGGACGCGGGTGGCGCTGTGGGTTAAACCACAGAGCCTAGGACTTGCCGATCAGAAGGTCGGCGGTTCGAATCCCCGTGACGGGGTGAGCTCCCGTTGCTGGGTCCCTGCTCCTGGCCCACCTAGGACTTTGAAAGCACGTCAAAAGTGCAAGTAGATAAATAGGTACCACTCCAGCAGGAAGGTAAATGGCGTTTCCATGCGCTGCTCTGGTTCGCCAGAAGCGGCTTAGTCATGCTGGCCACATGACCCGGAAGCTGTACGCCGGCTCCCTCGGCCAATAAAGCGAGATGAGCCCAGAGTCGGCCACGACTGGACCTAATGGTCAGGGGTCCCTTTACCTTTACAATAAATCACATAGATACTATTAGCTCTGCCGAGCTTGCGACTTCCCTCCATCCCTTCAGCAAGTATCCCTTATTTTCTTATATCACGAATTCTATTTATAAACCTTGTATCTGTGGTACATTGTAAGCTATTTCAGTCCTGCCAGTGTTTTAAAAGTTTTGCAATTATCCTTTATATACACCATAGATTTACTCCAATTTTCTTGAAACCTCTGATCGTCTTGGTCCCGAATTCTTCCCGTCAGTTTGGCTAACTCCACGTAGCTCATCATTTTTGTCTGCCACTCCGCAATGGTAGGAACTTCTTGCAATTTCCAGTTTGGGGCAAGCATGTTTCTTGCCGCTGCTGTGGCATACATAAAAAGTCTTTGGTCCACTTTCTTAATTTCCTTACCCATCAAACCCAACAAAAAGGCTTCTGGTTTTTTTGGGAAAGTGTATTTAAATATTTTCTTGAGTTCATTGTAAATTAACTCCCCAAAATTCTTAACTTTATCACAAGTCCACCATATGTGGTAAAAGTCACCATCCGCTAAGCCAGCATCCTATTTTCACAGGGGCCAAACATATGCCCAAGGCGAAGCCCACACCTGGGCCACAGCACAACCAAAACTCCAGCTCCTCCAGCCCTGGACAACCCTGGATTTACAGAAGCCGTCCCGGTTTCTGATCTGATCCCGGAACATCCCACTTTTCCTTATTTTCACTGGAGAAAAGTTGGAGGGTATGGAGTTATGTGACCCACCCACCCCCGAGCCAGGGAGAAAAGTACCTTATTGGCCCGAATACAAGCCACACCCGAATATAAGCCGCACCTTTAAAATTTCGCAGGCACTCGCACCCGTTCCATTTTACCGCAGCGATATCGTAAAAGCCAGTTTTGTAAGGTCGCAAACCTAAGCCGCACTTTAACTTTTCACAGTCGGGATTTGGGGAGGGGGGAGTGTGGCTTATTTTTGGGCCAATATAGTAACTTTACAACCTTCAGAAGACATCAGAAGACAACCCTGTATAGGGAAGGGTTTTTTAAAATGGTTCAAGTTTTATTATGTTTTTATATATGTTGGAAGATGCCCAGAGAGGTTGGGGGAACCAGCAGCAGCATATCTCTTTTTTCTTGTATCCAAAAATGCAAGAAGGGCTTTTTTACACTTGCCAGAAAGCTCGGCTCTGCCCTCGCCAGTCTTGGAAGGGTCCTTTAAAAAAGTCCCATTTGACCAGAGAATTTGTGCCTGTCCTTTAGGGGATATAGGAAGCCCTGAACACATATTTTTTAGATCTCCCTTTTACAATGAGGCACGTAGAGAAACCTTCAACCAGCTTCTGGTGTGGCTTGCTGACCTCCCGGCAAAGCAAAAATTTGATCTTCTCCTATTAAGCAAAGACCACAAGACGACCCGGATGGCCGTCAGATTCTGCGCACAGATCTGTAGGCACAGACCATCGCCCGATTCAATCTAGTTTGGAAATTCCCAAACCCAGATCCACGGGCGACTTTGGGTCATTTCTCTAAGGTAGTCTATTTTAAAGTTTTTATATGTTTATATGCCTCTCTGTGTTTATAAGCCTATATGTCCCCTACAGGGGACAGGGGTGGCGCTGTGGGTTAAACCACAGAGCCCAGGACTTGTCGATCAGAAGGTCGGCGGTTCGAATCCCCGCGACAGGGCGAGCTCCTGTTGCACGGTCCCTGCTCCTGCCAACCTAGCAGTTCGAAAGCACGTCAAAGTGCAAGTAGATAAATAGGTCCCGCTCCGGCGGGAAGCTAAACGGCGTTTCCGTGCGCTGCTCCACTTCACCAGAAGCGGCTTAGTCATGCTGGCCACATGACCCGGAAGCTGTACGCCGGCTCCCTCGGCCAATAAAGCGAGATGAGTGCTGCAACCCCAGAGTCAGCCACGACTGGACCTAATGGTCAGGGGTCCCTTTACCTCCTTTACTATGCCTATTGCAATTTTAAACTGAAAATCCATTGTTGTATATATTGGGAGTGTAGTTCCATTTGTGTTTCTCAAGCTGGTCTCTGACCATAATAAATGTTGTGTTCATGAGTGCCACTGATGGATAGCCACGATGGCTGCGCTCTGCCTCTGTGGTCAGAGACAGCAATGTTTCTAAATTCCAATAGACTGGAAATAGACTGGAAAGAGAAGCTGCTGAGTTGCAACTCATTACCAAACTTAAAACCATGGAGAGACCTGGTCTGAACAAAGACATTGGATTCTTATCTCATTATACATGACAAAGCAATTTTTCACCTTCTCACCCCTTGCTTTTTCCTGTAAGACCTATTGCAGTCGTTAAGAGTCGGTCAACAGGCTCATCACAGCTATCTGCCAATCACCCATTCCCACCACCCTTCTGAGTAATACCCCTCCCCACCTTCTCACTATATAGAAGGATCTGGCAACTTCTGTTTCAGTGTATCTGAAGAAGTGTGCATGCACACGAAAGCTCATACCAAGAACTAACTTAGTTGGTCTTTAAGGTGCTACTGGGAGGAATTTTTTTGTTTTGACTATGGCAGACCAACACAGCTACCTATCTGTAACTCTAAATTCCAGTTGCTGAAAAACACAGAAAAGGAGAGAATTCTCTTGTGTTCAAATCCTGCTTGTGAGGTAATGGCCTCAGTGAGAACAGGATGCTAGAGTTAGGGTCTTCTTCCTTTCTTCAGTCTTAGGTGATTCTTGAAATGAGCATCACTTTACCAAATTCAGTCATTTTACTCTCTCGCCCTGACCTAGCCACTGTGATCCATGCAACGGTCACCTCCAGACTGGATTATTGTAACTTGCTCTACGTGGGGCTGCCCTTGAGACTAACCCAGAAACTCCAGCGGGTGCAGAATGCCGCGGCGAGACTCCTTATGGGTCCTCACTGTGGGATCACATTCACCCAGTGCTCTACCAGCTGCACTGGCTCCCAGTGGAGTACAGGGTCAGGCTTAAGGTGCTGGTTTTAAAGCCCTATACAGCCTAGGACCCTCAGACCTACGGGACCGCCTCTCCTGGTATGTCCCACGGAGAACCTTACGATTTTAGAATGCTGTATTATTTTCCTGTTGTTAGCCGCTCTGAGCCCAGCTTTGGCTGGGGAGGGCGGGATATAAATTATTTACTTATTTACTTATTTACTTATTTACTTATTTACTTATTTACTTATTTACTTATTTACTTATTTACTTATTTCTTATTTATTTATTTTTAACATCACCTCCCCCCAAAAAAAAAAATTCCACAGAGCATAATTCCAGGATTCAATTAAGAGAATATACATTTGAGGGTTGTTGTGTTCCCCCCCCCCATGCCTGTTGAGAAGCATTCGCCCCCCCCCCCAGCACTCCAGTGAAATACGTCTCCGAGGGCTGCCGTTTCCCAGCTTGAATGAAACCTTCAAGCTGAGTTCATCCCTCTCCCCCGTTGCGGGAGCCACAAAACAGCTCCATTCAGAGCCCCTCAAATGAGCGCCGTGGCTATTCAGGCCACGAACGCCGCTGCTATTGACAGAGGCCCCCAAAAGGGACCTCACCGCGAATCCATTCACAGCCGCCGCTTTTTTCTAACGCGGCATGGCTAACGCAACAGACATTTAGCTGCGTGGGGAGAATGGGCCGCCCGTCGCCGGCGTCAATAGCTGGGACTTGAAAACGCTTACTCTGGCTATGCTGTCGCGGGCCACCAAAGGGATGAAAGGAACACCAGGGTGTGTGCGTGTGGGGAGAGAAAGGGGGGCAGCTAGATTTGGTTAATTAAAAAAAAAAACCACAGAGAGGCGGGCTGTTTATCTGCCAGTCGTGGCGCATTACTCCGGGCATCAAAGCAAAAAGTTTCTCCAGCACCTTTGTGAACTCGCCCCCTAGCAAATGCTAGATGACCAGAGCAGACATGGGGACGTGAGATACAGGTTCTGTTCCAACCTATTCTTGCTAAGGTTGCAAGTTTGTAAGGTTAAAGGTACAGTCTGGGGGTACAGAGGTCCCTCACTCTCTTAAAGGGACCCCTGGGTCCAGTCGTGGCCGACTCTGGGGTTGCGGCGCTCATCTCGCTTTATTGGCCGAGGAAGCTGGTGTTCAGCTTCTGGGTCATGCGGCCAGCATGACTAAGCCGCTTCTGGCGAACCAGAGCAGCACATGGAAACACCGTTTACCTTCCCGCCAGACCTATTTATCTACTTGCACTTTGACATGCTTCTGAACTGCTAGGTTGGCAGGAGCTGGCACCGAGCAATGGAGCTCACCCCGTCACGGGGATTCGAACCGCCGACCTTCTGATCGGCAAGTCCTAGGCTCTGTGGTTTAACCCACAGTGCCACCCACGTCCCTCTCACTCTCTTAGCTCTGTGCAAAGGCTGTGTGCCCAAGCTTCCGACAGTTTCCATCTTGCGATAGCAAAGGCAAACTGGCCTGGGGGTGATTTCAGGAACCAACGTACATTTTGGCAAGGCGAGATCACTTAAGACGCAAGCAAAAAACCCCACACACACTCCCTGCCATCACAAGCTCAGCTACCTGATGCCTTCAAGAAAATAGCCGGCACCGATCGATGGCAGGGCGGAATCGAGGAGGTTGCCATTGAGATTCAACAACTTTATAGACCGCTTCACAAGACAATGGTGTCAGAGCCATGTACATGGTTGAAACAGAATGCAAAAAAAAAACCACATGCTCAGAGGGCAGATAGAAACGTAAGAAGGCTCTGCTGGATCCTTCTAGCCTAGACTCCTGTTCTCCCAGCGGCCACCCAGATGCCCCAATGGGAACCTCAGAAGCAGGATTTGAGCACAAGAGCAAATCCTTTCTCCTGCGGTTTCCAGGAACTGGTCTTCAGAAGCATTCCTGCCTCCAACTGTGCAGGCAGAGCATAGACAACAAGGCTAATAATAATAATAATAATAATAATAATAAAAAATTTTATTTATACCCCGCCCTCCCCAGCCGAAGCCGGGCTCAGGGCGGCTAACAACAATAAAATAATACAACATTCTAAAATCATTTCATTATAAAATTAATTCAAATCAAATTGATGGCAACCATTGGGCTAGAGTTCTATGAAGATTACTAAAAGAGGGAGTCAGGCTGTGCCCTGGCCAAAGGCCTGGAGGAACAGCTCTGTCTTGCAGGCCCTGCGGAAAGATGTCAAGTCCCTCAGGGCCCTAGTCTCTTGTGACGGAGTGTTCCACCAGATCGGAGCCACAGCCGAAAAAGCCCTGGCTCTGGTTGAGGCCAGCCTAACCTCTCTGTGGCCCGGGACCTCCAAGATGTTTTTGTTTGAAGATCTTAAGTTCCTCTGTGGGACATACCAGGAGAGGCGGTCCTGTACGTACGAGGGTCCTAGGCCATATAGGGGTTTAAAGGTTAAAACCAGCACCTTAAACCTGATCCTGTAATCCACTGGGAGCCAGTGCAGCTGGTATAGCATCGGGTGAATGTGATCTCACAGCGAGGACCCCGTAAGGAGCCTTGCCATGGCATTCTGCACCCGCTGGAGTTATTGGGTCAATCTCAAGGGCAGCCCCACGTAGAGCGAGTTACAATAATCCAGTCTGGAGGTGACCGTCGCATGGATCACAGTGGCTAGGTCAGGGCGAGAGAGGTAAGGAGCCAACTGCTTAGCTTGGCGGAGATGAAAAAATGCCGCCTTTGTTATAGCTGCAATCTGCGCCTCCATGGAAAGGGAGGTGTCGAAGATTACACCCAAACACTTAACGGACGGTGCTGGCACTAATTGCGCCACCGCAAGAGATGGGAGTTGCCCCCCCAATCCCATATCGTCCCGTCCCAGCCACAGGACCTCTGTCTTCGGAGGATTTAGCTTCAACCGGCTCCCACGTAACCATCCAGCCACAGCTTCCAAACATCTGATCAGTGTGTCTGGGGCCGAGTCAGGATGGCCATCCATCAACAGATAGTAGCCCTCAATAGCACTCTCCTGCTCCATGAATTTGTGTCATTCGCTTTTAAAGCCACCTAGGCTTTTGCCCATCGCTGCTTCCTGCAGGAGGGAGTTTAACTATGTGCATTGCAAAGAAGCGCTTTCTTCTCTCTCCCCCGAATCTTCCAACGTTCAGCTTCGTTGCACGGCTTCTAGAACTATGGGAGAGGGAGAAAAACTCTTCTCTATCCCCTTTCTCCTTGACATGCATGCAGTTTATTAAGCTCTGCTTCTGCAGAGGCCAGCTCTAGGTAGCGGTGCCAGGAGAAAGGTGAAGGGGAGGGTCACAGCTCACAGGTGCAGCACCTGCTTGGCATGCAGAAGGTCCCAGGTTAACACACACACGCCCAGCAGCATCTCTAGGGAAGCTCCTGGCCTGAACTCACGGAGAGTCAGTATGGACAACACTGGGTTTGAGGGATATACATTATTATTATTATTATTATTATTATTATTATTATTATTATTATTGCTACTACTACTACTATTAATACCCTGCCTATCCAGATGGGTTTCCCCAGCCACTCTGGGTGGCTCCCAACAGAATATTAAAAACATGATAAAACATCAAACATTAAAAACTTCCCTAAACAGGGCTGCCTTCAGATGTCTTCTAAAAGTCAGATACAGTGGTACCTTGGGTTACATACGCTTCACGTTACAGACTCCACTAACCCAGATAAAGCGGGATATCAAATCCAAATCCAAAATACTACCTCGGGTTAAGAACTTTGCTTTAGGATGAGAACAGAAATCCTGCTCCCGCAGCACGGCGGCGGCAGGAGGCCCCAGTAGCTAAAGAGGTGCTTCAGGTTAAGAACAGTTTCAGGTTAAGAACGGACCTCCGGAACGAATTAAGTACTTAACCCGAGGTACCACTGTAGTTGTTTATCCCCTTGGCATCTGATGGGAGGGTGTTCCATAGGGTGGGCGCCACCACCGAGAAGGCCCTCTGCCTGGTTCCCTGTAACTTGGCTTCTCGCAGCGAGGGAACCACCAGAAGGTCCTCGGAGCTGGACCTCAGCATCCGGGCTGAACAATGGGGTGGAGACACTCCTTCAGGTCTACTGGACCGAGGCCATTTATTAGGGCTTTAAAGGTCAGCACCAACACTTTGAATTGTGCCCGGAAACGTACCGGGAGCCAATGTAGGTCTTTCAGGACCGGTGTTAGGTGGTCTCGGCAGCCGCTCTCAGTCACCAGCCTAGCTGCCGTGTTCTGGATTAATGGTAGTTTCCAGGGGGGTTGATCCTCCAGGTCTGATTGGCCTCTTGGCCTGTTTCACAGCAGCAGACTGGTGGTTGTGGGCGGCAGGTCCTTTAGTTCAGAAATGGATCGTGCTCTCCTATTCTTCCCAAAGGGGCAAGTCACTTCTGTTTCCCTCCAGCAGGAGGCGAGAGGGAGTCACTCCTCCACCCTCTGCTGGCATAACACAGAATCACTCCAGACCATGGTGGCTTTTTTGGCCATGCCGGTGTTGGTGCTGACCTTGAAAGCCCTAAACGGCTTCGGCCCAGTAGACCTGAAGGAGCATCTCCGCCCCCATCGTTCAGCCCAGACACTGAGGTCCAGCACCGAAGGCCTTCTGGCTGTTCCCTCCCTGTGAGAAGCGAAGCTACAGGGAACCAGGCAGAGGGCCTTCTCGGTGGTAGCGTTCCCCTGATCTCCCCTAACAACCGCTCGCCAGGAAAGGAACGTTTTCCTGAAGCCATTCAGAATTGCAGCCGCCTTCGAATTAATTGCACAATCAGATCCAACACGATCAGAAGAGACCCGCATCCTGTTCTCACCATGGCCAGCAAAGTGCCCCCGCCATCATGGCAAACCCACAGGCAGGATCCGGGCAGGAGAGCCCTCTCTCCTGCTGCAGTTTCCAACAACTGGGTATTCGGAAGCATCACTTCCTCTTGACTGTGGAGGCAGAGCACAGCCATTAACCAACGACAGCCTTCTGTTCCAGCCATCCAAGATGGCAGATGTTATGTATTGAAGTTCTCACCCTGGCCACAAGGGGTATTGTGTATACAGTGGTACCTTGGGTTACAGACGCTTCAGGTTACAGCCGCTTCAGGTTACAGACTCCGCTAACCCAGAAATAGTACCTCGGGTTAAGAACTTTGCTTCAGGATGAGAACAGAAATCGCGTGGCGGCAGCGGGAGGCCCCATTAGCTAAAGTGGTGCTTTAGGTTAAGAACAGTTTCAGGTTAAGAACGGACCTTCGGAACGAATTAAGTTCTTAACCCGAGGTACCACTGTATAGTTTTCACTCAGGTCCACGTAAGTTAATTTAGGCGGGAAACCCTGGGCTGTTGTTACGATGTTGACAGCCAGCTGCCTATAAAAGCAGGCTGGCTGAGCTGTTTGCTTTTCAGTTCCAGCTTTATAAGTAAGAACTACCGTATTTTTCACTCTATAGGACACACTTTTTCCCTCCTAAAAAGTAAGGGGAATGTGTGTGCGTCTTACGGAGCGAATGCAGACTGCGCAGCTATCCCAGAAGCCAGAACAGCAAGAGGGATTTTTTCCCCCCTTGTTCTCCTCCTCTAAAACTAGGTGCGTCTTATGGTCAGGTGCGTCTTATAGAGCGAAAAATATGGCATTTGGAGAAATCTCTGTGTCGTTTGCTATGTCCACCCACTACTTAATAGCAGACATCGCTGCCTCCTGCAGCACTGATTTCCATAGTTTAACAATGCCCTGCGTGAAGGAGGACTTTCTCTGGCTTGCCCCGAAGGATGAAATGGCGAGTCAGAGAATGGCCATCATGGCCACCGATAGCCCTCTCCTCCTCCTCCGATCCGGCAGCGCACGATGCTCACCTGGGGTGAAGAGGACGATGGCCTTCAGGCAGGAGTACTCGGCCGAGTCGACGTGCAGAGCCTTCAGCTTCTCCACCTGCTCCTGGAAGACGCGGATGTGGTCCATGAAGGCCACCACGCGGTCGGCGGACATGGGCGAGGCGTGGAGGCCGGCGGCGGCCAGGAGGGGAGCCACGTGGAGAGGCATGGAGCACTGGGCGGCGTTGAGGACGAAGAGCTCACTCCAGGTCATGCGCAGAAGGCAGACCTGGTCGGCCAACTGGAAGTCCGGGAAGAAGGGGATGTTCTTGGCCCACTCGATGGCGCTGAAGAGGAGGCGGGCGGCCAGCTCGCAGATGTTCTCGATGCCCATGATGTTGTTGGGCTGCAGGCACTGGGCCCCATAGCGGGAAGTGGGGTAGGGCTCTGCCCGGAGGAGGAGGGAGATGAAGCCCGTCAAGTAGGAGTGGCAATTGTAGGGGTCTCCGTTGGTGAAGGGGTACTGGCCCGGGCTGGGCTGCGCGGGAGCCATGCGCCCCCGTTGCACGGCTGGAGGGAGACAAGAAGGGAGGGAGGGAGAAAATGATGTATAGGTTGCTTCTATATGCAATGGCAGCAGAAAGGAGGATGAAATGGATGGACTATGCAGAATTAGATAAACTAACAGGAAGGATTCGAAACCTGCGGGACCAGAGATTCTCAGAAGGCTGGAGTCAATTTACGGACTATTTGAAAAGTAATTGTGATGAACAGATCACGCTAGTAGGTTGGCAAGAAGTTTTGTAAGGTGAATTATTTGAAATATTGCCAAAAAAAAAAAGACATTGAGGAGAATTATTAGTTAAGGATAATTAAAGGTAATATGTAATTAAGCAATGCATAATAAGTGATAAAGAACGGAACATAATCAGAGGCGTTGACGGAAGTCCAAAAATATTGCATAAGATGAGAAGTTATGTTGCATGAATGTTGGGATTAATATGTTAAAAATAATAAAAATGTATATAAAAAAGAAAACATGATGTATAGATAATAAGTAATAATAATAATTTATTATTTATACCCCGCCCATCTGGCTGGGTTTCCCCAGCCACTCTGGGCAGCTTCCAACAGAATATTAAAATACAATAGTCTATTAAAAATTAAAAGCTTCCCTAAACAGGGCTGCCTTCAGATGTCTTCTAAAAGTCTGGTAGTTGTTTTTCTCTTTGACATCTGGTGGGAGGGCGTTCCACAGGGCGGGTGCCACTACCGAGAAGGCCCTCTGCCTGGTTCCCTGTAACTTGGCTTCTCATAGGGAGGGAACCACCAGAAGGCCCTCAGAGATGGACCTCAGTGTCCAGGCAGATAGATGGGGGTGGAGACGCTCCTTCAGGTATCTAACTCTGGTTAAACTAGCAAAAATGTACAAAACTAGAGAAAACAAGCGTTGGAAATGTAAAACAAGAGAAGGTGCATTTTTTCATAAATGGTGGAATTGCAAAATTGTTAAGAATTATTGGGAAATGATTTATAATGAAATGAAGGTGTTTAAAATAACCTTTGCTAAAAAAAACCAGAAGATTTCCTGTTAGGTATTACAGGAATGGACTTACCAAGATCACAAAAGAATCTGTTTATGTACGCAACCACGGCTGCACAAACAGCGCAACATTGGAAAGAAGAAAGCGTCGCGGCTAAAGAAGAAGTTCAATTAACAGAATATGCTGAAATGGCAAAGTTGACAATGAAATTAAGAGGAAGCGACAACAAGGAATTTAAGGAAGAATGGAAGGACTTTATTGCAATGTACACAGGTTAATACATTGGCAGAGTTTTGAGAATTCTTGTAATTTTATTATGAATGGACAATAAGAAATTCAAATGGTTAAAACTTTATAATGGGCATGTAGTACATTGATGGGACGCGGGTGGCGCTGTGGGTAAAAGCCTCAGCGCCTAGGGCTTGCCGATCGAAAGGTCGGCGGTTCGAATCCCCACGGCTGGGTGCGCTCCCGTTGCTCGGTCCCAGCGCCTGCCAACCTAGCAGTTCGAAAGCACCCCCGGGTGCAAGTAGATAAATAGGGACCGCTTACTAGCGGGAAGGTAAACGGCGTTTCCGTGTGCGGCTCTGGCTCGCCAGAGCAGCGATGTCACGCTGGCCACGTGACCCGGAAGTGTCTCCGGACAGCGCTGGCCCCCGGCCTCTTGAGTGAGATGGGCGCACAAGCCCAGAGTCTGTCAAGACTGGCCCGTACGGGCAGGGGTACCTTTACCTTTACCTTTAGTACATTGATATACAATGGAACCAAGGAAGGGATTAGGGAGGAAGTCAATTTGTTTTGGTTTTTATTGTTGTTTGTTTTGTTTCTGTTATTGTTGGAAAATAAATAAAATATTATCGGGGGAAGAAGGGAGAAAGCACATGATTCGCATCTCAGCATTTATTTCGTGAAACCAATATGCTGCTACGTTGTCCTGGGGAGGGGGGAATTTTATCTCCTGGACTTCTGACTTAAGATTCTCAGTATTCAACACCCAAGCCTGCTTGGGAAATGAAGGGTGCACATGTTTCCATTTCGTTTCCTTATTATTATTTTTCTGTAGTGATTGCCATTATGTGGTCTCTTTAATCGTTTTTATTTGGTTTGACAAATGAGTTGTAACAATACCAAATACACATTTCTCTGAATCTACTGTCAACATTTCCAAATGCGTATTATTTCAGTCTATATTTTGTATCACCTTGCCAACAAAGGTCCGTATATAGTTAAAGCCATGGTTTTCCCAGTAGTGAGGTATGGAAGTGAGAGCTGGACCATAAAGAAGGCTGATCGCCGAAGAATTGATGCTTTTGAATTCTGGTGCTGGAGGAGACTCTTGAGAGTCCCATGGACTGCAAGAAGATCAAACCTCTCCATTCTGAAGGAAATCAGCCCTGAGTGCTCACTGGAAGGACAGATCCTGAAGCTGAGGTTCCAAGACTTTGGCCACCTCATGAGAAGAGAAGACTCCCTGGAAAAGACCCTGATGTTGGGAAAGATGGAGGGCACAAGGAGAAGGGGACGACAGAGGACGAGATGGTTGGACAGTGTTCTCAAAGCTACTAAAATGAGTTTGACCAAACTGCGGGAGGCAGTGGAGGACAGGAGTGCCTGGCGTGCTCTGGTCCAGGGGGTCACAAAGAGGCGGACACGACTAAACAACAACAATATTTTGTACCTGTCCATATTGTCCATCATATTTGACCCATTACAAGCATTATTAGAATCCTGCTAATGTTTTCACCTGCTTACAATGGTCTCCTAAATAAATTATAATTCCCCCCCCCCCCCATTCTTTCTTGAAGTTCTTGTCTTCTTGATTCCTGAGCTTTCCAGTCAGTTTTGCCATTTCGGCGTGAGTCCAACAGTTTCGTTTGCCATTCCTCTCTGGTAGGGAGAGTGCCAGTATGTTTTTAACAGAATTGTAAAGTTGGAAGGGACCCTCCTGGGGTCATCTAGTCCAACCCCGTACAACACAGGAATCTTATAGACAGATAGGTAATTATAATTGCATTGTTTAATTGTTTTTAATGGTTGCTCCCCTCAAAAAATAATAATAATTAGCAGTTCTTATTTTATTTGTAAGCTGCCTTGAGTCCCTGTCAGGGAAAAAGGCAGGATATAAATTGACATTATTATTATTATTATTATTATTATTATTATTTGGTTTGCTTTGTATATAGTATGATGCAATACCATGCCATTGGGGTTGTTAGTAATCACAGTGAAAAAGAAAATTGAAAATTAAGTAAGTAAGAAGCGTCAAAATTGAGATGTGGAAAATATGGAAACGGCGATGAGTAACGGGACTAAGATGTGGAGATTTGCTTCAGAGCTCCAGACCCTGGGGAGCCCCGAGAAATTAATAATTATAATTTGGACTATAATTTCGTCTCTTTTTTAGTTTTTCATTTTAATTGGAGTATTATGATTGGATATATTAATTGGATGTTTTTTATTGGAAAATCAATAAAAATGATTTTTTTTAAAAAAAAAAAAAAGCTTGTGTCAAGGCAAAGGGAACCCTGCCCTGCTTCCTCCCCACCTTCTGCATGATTGGCAGGGCCGGCAGATCAGAGGGCGCTCAGCTCTGGCCCCACAAACAAGCCTGCTGCATCAGGCCAGTAGCCCATCTTGTCAGAAACCCGCAAGCATGACTTCAGCACAAAAGGCCCTCTCGTCTCCTGCAGTTCCTGCAGCAACTGGCATTCAGAAGAATTGCTGCCTCTGACCGTGGACGCAGAAGCACAGCCATCGTCGCTATCAGCCATCGATAGCCCTCTTCATGAACCAGCCCAACCCTCCTTTAAAGCCATCCAAGTTGGTCGCTGTCCCTGCCTCTTGTGGCAGGGAGTTCCACAGGTTGTGCTGTGTGAGCAAGCTCCGAAAACACTGTCTCAAATCTTCCCGCATTCTCTCTCCTCCAAGGAATCCTTTGCCCCCTCCAGACAACTTGTTTTTTTTAATCACTGAGCCATGATTAGTTGTTTCTCTACCTGCTACTGGGGCGGTCAGACACCGTGCTGCTTTCAACACTGCTGGGGGCTCAGTCTAATTCTGCCAAGATGTTTCCTTTTACTCCATAGTTTTCTACATTTGTAGGGAGGAGGTAAAAATAAATTATACAAGTAACTGTGCGGTATGAAGAAACGGATAGACAGTGAGATTAATTGGAAGTCGGTTTTAAATTTCTTTTCTACAAATTTTATAATTGTGTTCAATACCAGGAGTATATATGATGATAATTATATTAATCTTCTAATAGTGTAGTGGTTTGTTTGATTTTTCTGTTGTTTGTTTGATTGTATGTTTGTTTACTTATATGCACATCTGTTTTTCATAAATGCATTTATTTTAAATTAATAAAGATATATTAAAAAATAATAAAAGATTTAAAAAAACACTGCTGGGGGCTTGCAACTATTTTGAGGCAGCTGCACTGGTTTCCTTTCTAATCTGTGCACTTCTTGAAACCTTTCCCAGAAATCCTGTAGCTTTTTATCCTGCAAATGTTCCCACAATAGCCAAGCAGATGCCCACAAGCCAGACCCAAATGCCATGGCACTCCCCCCCCCCCCGTGGTTTTGTGGAACTGCTATTATTCAGCAGCTACTGCTTCCAAGGGTGGAGGCAGAAAATAGCCATTGCAGCCAGCAGATGTTGGTAGCCTTAAAGGTAAAGGTAAAGGGACCCCTGACCATTGGGTCCAGTCGTGACCGACTCTGGGGTTGCGGCGCTCATCTCACCTTATTGGCCGAGGGAGCCAGTGTACAGCTTCCGGGTCATGTGACCAGCAGGACTAAGCCACTTCTGGCGAACCAGAGCAGCGCACGGAAACACCGTTTACCTTCCCACCGGAGTTGTACCTATTTATCTACTTGCACTTTGACATGCTTTCAAACTGCTAGGTTGGCAGGAGCAGGGACCAAGCAACGGGAGCTCACCCCGTCGCGGGGATTCGAACCGCCGACCTTCCGATCGGCAAGTCCTAGGCTCTGTGGTTTAACCCACAGCGCCACCAGCGTCCCTTGTTGGTAGCCTTATCAGCCATTAAGGTGTCCAATCATCTTGCAAAGGAGCCCCTCTGCTTAAATGTGGAGGGGAAGAAATGGGATCTTAAGTGGCGCATTCTAAAAAATAAAGAAGAAGAAAGCGCAGAGGAAGGACAGAGAGAAGGAAAGGGGAAAGGTGAATAATTTTGAAGGACGAAGATGAAAAGGAGGAGATGCTGTCCTACCCTGGGTGGTTCTTGGGAAGACAAAGACGGCATGAATCAAGGGGAACGAGGGAAGAAATTGCAGAAGCAGAGAGGAGGATGATTCAGCAACGGGCACGTGGTTGCCTTTGTAAAAGGGTTGCAGAGGAAGAGGAAGGCAAAGAAAGGGAGAAAAGGAGGAGAGAAAGCAAAGAGGAGGTGTGGAGGGAATTGGGGGGAAATGAAGAAAAGGGGAACTGGCGGAAAACAGGATAGAAAAGGGAGAGAGTCACAAAGGAAAACGGGAGGCGGGGAAAGCAGAAGAGGGATGGAAGGAAGATGAAGAATTAGGGTCCCCACATAGGCACTTTGTATAGTGCTCTCGTAAGAATGCAATGGGACGCGGGTGGCGCTGTGGGTTAAACCACAGAGCCTAGGACTTGCTGATCAGAAGGTCGGCGGTTCGAATCCCCATTACGGGGTGAGCTCCCGTTGTTCGGTCCCTGCTCCTGCCAACCTAGCAGTTCGAAAGCACGTCAAAGTGCAAGTAGATAAATAGGTACCGCTCCGGCGGGAAGGTAAACGGCGTTTCCTTGCGCTGCTCTGGTTCGCCAGAAGCGGCTTAGTCCTGCTGGCCACATGACACGGAAGCTGTACGCCGGCTCCCTCGGCCGATAAAGCAAGATGAGCGCCGCAACCCCAGAGTCGGCCACAACTGGACCTAATGGTCAGGGGTCCCTTTGCCTTTACTTTTAAGAATGCAATAAGAGCCCGTTGGATCAGGCCAAAGGGGTCCAGTCTAGTGCAACATCATCTCCTCACCAAGGCCAAATACCTGTAAGAAACTAGGGATGTAAATAGACTTCCTCTGAACCGTAAGGACATCAGAAGAGCCCGGTGCCTGGGTCTGGTCAAGTGGAAGCCTTTTAGTCCTGCTTCTGTTTTCACAGTGACCATCCACATGCCTCTTTGGAAGCCCAAAGGGAGGGCCTGAGTGCAACAGCAGTGCTCTCCACGCTTGCGATTTGCAGCAATCGGCTTTCAGAAGCTTTCCTGGAGGCAGAGCAAAGCCGCAGTGACTGGTAGCCAACAGGGGCTAGTGCTAGTGACAAATAGCCCTCTCCCCTCCATCAATTTGCCCAGTCCTCTTTTCAAGCCTTGGTGGCTGCCTCTGCCCTCATGTGGGAGGGAGTTCCAGAGGCTAGCTACGTCTTGTGTGAAAAAGCTCTTTCTTTTATCTGTCCCGAAAGGTTCAGGACAGTGGCAGGCCAGCTATTTCCCTTTCGACAGAGTTTGCCGCTGCAAAGGTTTCGCAGCAGAATCTCTGCTTTGTTCCCAGTCAAGTCCCAGCACTCCCTGCTGAAATCCTCCTCACTTTTCATGCCACAAATAAATTGAAATTAAACCAGGTCCCCTGGAGAGGAGAAGTGAATAAAATCAGGGCAGGGGTGGAAGTAGCCGGTGCGCAAATCTGTCGATTTTAGTTTATCGTTTTCTCAGCCTTTAACTCAAATGGCCTGATTTAATTCTTTGCCCTGCTTTTCATAGAATGGCAGAGTTGGAGGGGCACCCCAAAGGTCATCTAGTCCAACCCCCTACAATGCAAGAATCGCAGTTTGCCCCTCTGGGTGGCAATAATATACGGACATTGAGGAAGCACTGCAGAACGCAGCTAATAAAGCAGAATGATGTGTGGATGGTTCAGGAAAAGGCCGTAGCTCAGTGGCACAGCAAGGACCCTGCGTGCACAAGGTCCTGAGTTCGATCCCTGCCATCCCCAGGTACCGCTGGGAGAGACCCCTTGCCTGAAATCCTGGAGAGCTGCTGCCAGCCAGTGTAGACAACACACAGCTAGATAGATCCAAGGGGCTGGCTTGGTGTAAGGCAGCTCCCAATTACAACCAATCCTCTATTCAGAACCATGAGGACTAGCTTCTTATTTTTGAATGGAATGACAGCAGCTCAGGAATAGAGCGATTGCTTTGAATGCCGAAGATCCCACATTTAATCCCTGCTTGAAACCCCAGAGAGCCTCTTCCAGTCAGCAGAGACAATAGTGAGCTAAATGGATCAATGTTTGGACTCCGTATAAGACAGATTATTCTGTTTCTATGCACAAATCTATCCGCCATTAACGCACCATTGGCCACTAAGGCACCAGTGCCTTTTTAAAAAGCACCTTTCCCAGTATCAAGCATTTCAGACCAGCAAGAGAGGCCTTGGTAGTAAGGGTGCCACCACCAAGGAGGCCCGGTTGGCACTGACAGGGCCTCCTTGGTAGTGGCTCCCCGTTTGTGAAATGCCTTCCCAAGCGAGTTGCGCCTGCCTCCCTCGTAACTGGCTTTCAGGAGGGATTTTAAAAACATCCCTCTTTACCCAGGTTGCCATTTGGGGGCTGAAAGACGACTGTTTCCGGCGACCCTCAGATCCCTGGACAGAGAAAAGGGGAAGACTTTTTCACACAGTGCATCGGTAAACTGCGGAACTCCCTCCCACAGGAGCCACTGGTGCTTTTGTGTGTTGCACCTTGTGCTTGCAGGTTTCCCATTGAGGCATCTGATCGGCCACTGTGAGAACAGGATCCTGGACTACATGAGCCACTGGCCTGATCCAGCGAGCTCTGCTTATGTTCTTTCTCTTCTCAAATGCTTTCCTACATGATTGATAGGTTTTCCACCCTGGGCTCCTTCGAGAGGAAGCGTGGGATATATCAACTGAATGAAGTGCTTCTGACACTCAAGCCGTATCCTTTTAGGGCCCACGTTATTTTTGCGATTGTTAGCCGTTTCAATACAGTGGTACCTCGGGTTACAAACGCTTCAGGTTACAGACTCCACTAACCCAGAAATAGTACCTTGGGTTAAGAACTTTGCTTCAGGATGAGAACAGAAATCGTGCTCTGGCAGCGTGGCAGCAGCAGGAGGCCCCATTAGCTAAAGTGGTGCTTCAGGTTAAGAACTGTTTCAGGTTAAGAACGGACCTCCAGAATGAATTAAATTCTTAACCCAAGGTACCACTGTACTATGTTTTAGTTGGTGGAACCTGCCCCGGGAACTTAGGTTGAAGGGCAGGTAACATATGAATACATAAATAATAAGACTATTGATGCATCGATGACATTTCGCAGAATACATCCACAGAAAAAGAAAAACCAGGATCACAAGAAACTCAGTGCTTTTGGCACAGACTGGCAGTTGCTCTCGAGGGCAAGAGAGCCTCTGCCAGAGGGGATGAAACCGGGGACCTTCTGCAAGCCAAGCAGCTGCTCTGACCACTGAGCTACGCTCCTTCCCCTTGCTCTCTCCGGAGGAGCCCTAAGGCAGCATGGAGGAGCAGACCAATTAAAGGGATGTCACAACTTCCAGAAAAGGAAATAGCAAGATCTACCCACCCTGGAAGAATGGCAGATGAAGGTGATGGACTACATGGAATTGGCGGAGATGACCGGCAGAATCCGAGACCAGGGAGAAGAGTCGGTGGAAGAAGATTGGAAGAAATTTAAAGACTATCTACAGAAATACTGCAAAATTAATGAATGTTAGAATGATGTTGGATTGAAGTTAAGTGGTTTTTAGCAGTAATGTTATAAAGATGTGCAAAAATGGATTGTTAACAGGTGATAATCTAAAGTTATAATATATTAAGATTAAAGATTAGGATAAAAACAAAGAGGGAAAGGATTTGCTGAATTAACTAATTGAACTGGAATACAAAAAAGGGAGGTGTGAGGAGGTCTGGGGAACAAGCAAATGAAAGATAAGATACGGAAAGATTGAATTGTTTTTAACTGTTTTTACTTTGTATTTTTTCTTTTTTCTTTTTGTAACATTTTGAAAACTTTAATAAATATCTTTTTTTAAAAAAAAAAGGAAATAGCAAGAGAGATCCAAACAGGGGAAAACAGGGGAAGAAGAAGAAATGGAAGACTGGCCTCTGGAGAGCGAAGGGAGGAAAGGGAGATTGCAAGAAAACAGAGAGAGAGAGAGAGAGGAGGAGGAGATGTGTGGGACACACACCCCCCCCAGGCAACCCACCTTCACGGCGCATGCCAACCTTGAGGCACTTGGTGAGGCGGCAGTGCTGGCACTGGTTGCGGTGGTGTTGGTCGACGGGGCACTGGCGGCTGGCACGGCAGGTGTAGCTGAGGTTGCGGCGAACGGAGCGCTTGAAGAAGCTCTTGCAGCCCTCGCAGGTGAACTGGCCGTAGTGCTTCCCGCTGGCCTTGTCCCCGCACACCAGACAGTCCACGGCCGAGGCCGACGCCTTGCCCTCCCCGCTGCTGCCCCCGCTGGGCTCCTGGGGGGCTGGGGCTGGCAGCTGCGGCGGGACCCCTGGAGGAACGCCTGGAAGATCTTCCTGCCAGGGGGTCACCACCAGAGCCATCTTGGGAGAAGGGTCGTAAGGAAGGGGCAGGAAAGGAGGGGAGTAAGGGGGTGAGAATTGCAGGGGGGTTAGAGAGAGATCTAGCAGAGGAGGGGTTGGTTGGAGGAGCTATGGGGCTGGCTGCAGAGGCTGGGAGGTCAAGAAGGGGCAGCAAGAGAATGACGGCTAGGGAGAGAAGGAAAGGATGAGATGGGCAGGAAGGCTGGGGGACGCGTGGCAAGAGGAGGAGAAAGGAGGGAGAGAAGGAAGGAAAGGAGGAGGAGGAGGGAAGAGGAATAGAGAAGGGCAGGGGCTGAGCGGCTGAGGTTTGGGAAGGAGGAGAAGGTGGAAAGGACCAGCCGTGAAGGAGGAAGAGAAGGAGGAAGCAGGTAGAGAGGAGGAAGAGGATGAAAAAAGTGGGGTTATAAATCTACTTTCCAGCAGAACAGCAAACAACTGCATGCTTTGCAAAGGGGGGGGGTTAGGGAGAAGAATAAGGAATGAAAGTAGGGGCGTCTTTGGCAGCTTCTCCCCCCACTCCTCGCCCCACAAGTCCGAGCAGGCAACTGTAAACGAAGGTTTTCTTCCGTTCTTCCAAAAGCGGCAGGAGGGAATCCCAAAATCCCCACTAGTAAGAATCAGTGCCGGGAGGAGAAATTGCAGTCGCCTCTCTCCATTTTCCTCCCCGTGGGTCTTCCCAAAAGAAGCGGTCTGCCTTCTTCGCTGGAGAAAGAAGATCACAATGCCTCGATTTGGCAGAAGCCCAGCAGAGAGAAGGGAAGGAATCTCCGGTCTTCAGTCGCCAGAGGATGGAAAGCACACAGGGTTATAACGACTCCGAAAAGGGTGCCCATAATCAGAGAGAAAACTTCTTCCAGTGAGGCGGCAGCTGCTAGCAGGCATTCAAATCCTGACAGATCTGTGCATGGGTTTTATTTTTTTAAGGAGAGGAAGGACAGGGAGAGAGAAAAGGTGCAAGAGGTTAGTTTATTTTTAAGAAGAGAGCTCAGCAAACATTGTGCAAGGAAGGCGAAGGAAAAACCAGAAGCCACAGAACTCCCATCCCGGTTGTCTAAAGTTCACATTCCCATCGAGTGTAAAATATACGACATCTTAAGACAGCCTTTCGGGGGCTGTTCATCTGCCTTTTAAGGCAGCGGTGTCCCAAAAGGAACAGAAAAATGCAACAAACAAGTCTTTGAGAGGTAGTTCAAAGTCAGTTCCCTGGTACTTCCCCCCAAAAAAATATTATTTTAAAAAATGGCGGTGGCTCCAAAGAAACGATCCATCAGATTTTGATGGGCTTCCGAAAGAGAGGGAGAGCCTTCATCCGAAACTCTCTCTGGGATGGATGTTTCATTCCCAGAAATGCCCGTCTCTGGGGTTTTAGGGTGCTTCTGCCTTTGGGGTGTGGGCAAATTGAATCCATCTAAGCCAGGGCAAAGATTCCAATCTAGCCTCTGTATCCCTCCCCATTCTGTCCTTTCTATGGTCAAAATCAACAGGCATTCGGATTTCAGTTTTCAAGGAGAGAGAGTTTCTCTAGCAACAGAGAAAGTGTCTTGCACGAATGAGACGGATCTATTCCGGTGGACTATTTTTAGGATCAGGGAGCATGTGGGTTTAACGCTGAACCCCTGTATATATCTTTATTCTCCTATTGATCTCTGATCAAGGTATTAAATACAGCTGATGAAGATCATCTACAGATCAATGAGGGATTTGGGGGGTGAGAAAAATTGTCTTTTTCCAAGCGTAGCAGGAATTAAAATGATATTCATTGTACCAACCCTCTGAAGAATTTATTTTCTCCAACCACCTCCTAATAATATATTTATGAATAAATGTCATTTCCCCCTATAACAATGAATGTCCATTGAATAATAAATAATATTTCTTAAAAGCTTTGCGCAGGAAGAAATGGCATCTAATTGTATTGATATTGCTACCTGCAAAATCTGTAATATCAGTAATGCAGTACTGTTAAAAGCAATACTGTATATTATTAGCAATATATTCCTATTAATATGTTGCTATTTTTACAGGTAATGGTAATTGATACATCATTATTAACAGCATCAGATTGCTGTTAATAAAATTACTAGTGATTACTGTTGATAACACTATTGTTGCTAATATTATTAGATCCTATTTTGTTCTCTAGACATTAACGGTCATTAGTAACAACAGTCAATATTTAATAAATATTCATGCCACTGTCTATGCACAATTGTGTTAAGCTTTCACCCTATTACAATTAAAGCAACTTTATTAGCATTAGTAATATTTTTAACAGATGTCAAATCCTGCTTCGGAAATTACATATAATTATTTCTTTAATTATAACAGAATATTTAGTACCATTAAACTCGTTTTGAATTACCATAATTTCATCCCACAGAAATAATTATTAATAATCCTAGCAAGTGATGCCAGTACAGATGCGTGGGCAAGTTTTTTGTTTTTCAGCTGAACACCAAAAGCCATCCTTAGACATCATTATTGCAAGCAACTAACATCAAATCTGTACTGTTTAAATCGTCTTGTTGTTTTTTTAAAGAGAGCAAAAATCAATTTGTGAAGTTTCTGCCGGTTTTGCAAACTCTCATACATTTTTCCCCAAGGAAAGTTCTTTCTTTTTAATTTTTCTTTTTCGGGAGTCCTCATTATCCTGTCTTGCTTTTGCGGGAGAGGGTGGGGATAACTCGCTCCTGACGCGGCAAAAACCTTCACCCGTTTACTCAGGAGTAAGCGCGCGCCCCTGCAGTCAGCGGAGGAGCTCACTACTTTAGGAGGGAGTAAAACTCACAGATAGGTGTGCCTATAGCACGATGTTGCCTCGTGTCATTTTCTACCTGAAAAGGGGAAAGCGCCCCAGAAATAAGGAAATGCTTCTCTTTTCCAACAGGGAGACAAAAAAAAAAATAGCAGGCAGCGCTCCTTTGACTTACCACTGCACCCCCGAATAAATTCAAAAAGAAATTCCTATCTGTCAGAGTGGGCAGAAGTGACTTAACCACAAGCAAAACCACCAAAATAAAATATGATTTAATAATAATAATAATAATACCCCAAAGCGGGGGGGGGCATCTCCTTTATCGGAAAGGAAGAGGGAAAAGGAGGGGTAGTACGCAGACCTGCTCGAAAATCGCTTTTAATTCTCCTTCGGAATCCTGGAGAAGAAATTGATGGTTTTCTCTCTTTTTCCCCTTTTCTTTTCTTTGAAGCAAATTCCGCCTAGGGGGCTCGAGGCTGTTCCTTGCGCTTCTCCCTCCAGTGCAAAAAAGCAGCAGTTTCTTCTTTTGCGCGCAGCGCGGCGGCCCCGATCCTGAAGTTGCGCCCGCGCGCAGCTCCTGCCCGCGCAAGCTGCCGGACAATGCTTCGGAATTTTATTTTATTTTTTTCCTCCCCCGCTTCCCTCAAAACTGGCTTTTTAAAAAAAATAAAATCCTAGGGACAAGCGGAGCGGGCGAGGAACTTTTCTTTTCCGAGAGATGCGGCGGCGGCAGCAGCAGCAGCGTCGCTCCTCCGTCTCCGCTTGTCAATTTCGCTTCTCCGCCGCCGCCGCTTCTCCTGCTGCCTCGGGTCACGTGCTCCGCGGGAGGGATGCGGGGGGGGGCGCGGAGAGATAGAGACCCATTGACAACGTGGCCATGGCGACGAGGCGGCGCCTTATAAGGCGCGGCGCTCCATATAAGGAAGCGAATGTAGCGCTCCGGCGAAAGGGGTGCCGCTGCCATTGGCTGGGGCGTGGAAGGAGGGGCGTGGCTCCAGCAGAGAATGGTTTTTAAAAAGGAGAGCGTGTTACTAGCGTTCCGTGCCCTTTGCCTCAGTTTCCTCTCCGTCTTTCTTTATTTTTATTCATTCATTCCATTATTATTATTATTATTATTATTATTATTATTATTATTATTATTATTATTAATTACCCAAAGCATTACAAAGTATCACAGGGGTTCTTTCTTATTTATTCATTCATATTATTATTATTATTATTATTATTATTATTATTAATTGTTGTTGTTTAGTTGTTTAGTCGTGTCCGACTCTTCGTGACCCCCTGGACCAGAGCACACCAGGCCCTCCTGTCTTCCACTGCCTCCCGCAGTTTGGTCAAACTCATGCTGGTAGCTTCGAGAACACTGTCCCACCATCTCGTCCTCTGTCGTCCCCTTCTCCTTGTGCCCTCCATCTTTCCCAACATCAGGGTCTTTTCCAGGGAGTCTTCTCTTCTCCTGAGGTGGCCAAAGTATTGGAGCCTCAGCTTCAGGATCTGTCCTTCCAGTGAGCACTCAGGGCTGATTTCCTTAAGAATGGATGCGTTTGATCTTCTTGCAGTCCATGGGACTCTCAAGAGTCTCCTCCAGCACCAGAATTCAAAAGCATCAATTCTTCGGATATCAGCCTTCTTTATGGTCCAGCTCTCACTTCCATACATCACTACTGGGAAAACCATAGCTTTAACTATACGGACCTTTGTTGGCAAGGTGATGTCTCTGATTTTTAAGATGCTGTCTAGGTTTGTCATGGCTTTTCTCCCAAGAAGCAGGCGTCTTTTAATTTCGTGGCTTATTATTATTATTATTAATTACCCAAAGCATTGCGGGGGTTTAATGACCCCCCCCAGGATCCCTTCAAACTCCACAGTATACTATGAGCTTATAACAAAAGTAAGTTGTGTTATAAAAAAACAAGTTACATTTACATCTCACCTTTTCGTGCTCCAGGTGGCAGACACGGCTGGGTGGAGGAACCTGAACCCAGGGCTCCCAGATCCTGGTATAACAACTCTAACCACTACACCACACTGTCTCTTTCCTTCGTTCCCCCCTCACTTTCCTGCTCTTTCTTTCTTCCTCCCTGCCTGATTTCCACTGTTTCTTCCCCCTTTCCTCTCTCGGCACTCGAGGTGCATATTTATGGACCCGCCTAAGTGTAAGTTGCTTTTAAACTCGTTTTCATATTGTGGTTTAATTGCTGCAATCCACCTGAGGATCTGTAGGGTGAACGGCAGGCAGAGCAGGCCCAATATATCTCGGCACCTGAGGCAAATGCCAAAAAGCGAGGCCTCCCCCAGCAGGGAAGAAGCGGGGAGTGAAGATCTGCACTGGGAACAAGTGGGGGGGGGGATATAAAGATCTACATAGGTTGCATGGCTTGGAGGCGAAATCTGCTGCCCCTGTGGGTCTTGCCACCTGAGGCAAGCCATGGACAGGCCGGCCCTGAGAGTGGGCAATACATTATGATAAATTATTATTAATTGTAAGATTTTCTCTTTGTTTTTTTTACCCTGCCTGTTCTTTCTTTTCATTTCATTTCTCTTGTCTTCATTTCATTGTTCTTCTCTGCTCTGCCTCAGTTTCCCCTCCGTCCCCCTGCCTCCGTTTCCTTCCATGCCCGCCTTATTCTTTTTCGGTCCCTCCTCCCGCCTCAGCACCCCCCCCCACGCACACACCCCGCTTTTCTTTTGCTCTACCTCCCCCCTCCCCATTCAGCTGTCATCCGCCTTCAGATCAGCGATTCACTCAGACACAGACAAAGCGTGATCCTCCATTTGATCTACCTTCTTGTTGTCACCAGTGGATTTGCGGGGTTTTTTGTTTGTTTGGCTTTTTAAAAAAGCAAGCTGGTGGTCGTTTCTTTCTTCCCTTTTTCAATCTGTAAACATTCCAGGTGGCTGTAGAATGATCCGATTTACAATATAATGCAATAAAGCAACATGTGATAATATTCGCTGATCCGATTGAATAAGGAATCCCTATGCGGTGATCCAATTATGTAATAATGTTCAGCGATAACATCGTGTAATAATATTCCGTGAGCCTAAGCTGTGAGGGACGTTAGGCTGAGAGAGGCTGTGATTATCCTCCAAGGTCATACCCATTGAGCTTCATGGCCGAGTGGGAAGATTCGAACCCTGGTCTCTCACAGATCCTTCTTCTTCTCTGGCGATCACTCGTAGCCGAGTAAGATTGTCTTCCATAAACACAGTTTTAACAATGAGTCCGTAAGTGACTGTGGAGGCCAATTCTGGACCCACACGTCCTTCCACAGTGGGGACATTGGTTTCCGGGCGGGAGTTGATCACGGTGTGGATTTGCCAAGCGTGTCTTCCTCCTAGCACATTTCTCCCTTGAGTCCTGAGTTCGAGTGTCTTCAAAGCCCATGACACCTTTGCTAAAGGCTGTTCTCCAACTGGAGCGCTCACAGGCCAGTGTTTCCCAGTTGTCAGTGTTTATACTACATTTTTTTAGATTTGCCTTGAGACAGTCTTTAAACCTCTTTTGTTGACCACCAGCATTACGCTTTCCATTTTTAAGTTCGGAATAGAGTTGTTGCTTTGGAAGACAATCATCAGGCATTCGGACAACATGACCAGTCCAGCGAAGTTGATGTTGAAGAATCATTGCTTTGACACTGGTCATCTTTGCTTCTTCCAGTACACTAATATTAATCGCCTTCTAAACCACTGTCTCAAGGCGTTTTACCTGCAAGATAATTAAAAACAGCCCAAATCACAAAAGCAAGGAATGCATTTAAGACTCTGTCGCTCGTGGGGAAAGCCCATTATTGCTGGAAGCTGCTGAGAGATGTTTTGTATTATGTAGGCCTCGGATGCATCAAAATAATTAAAAGGATCGATAATAGTGTCCTTTTCAAAATAAGATTTGTGGGTGCTGGAATCCCAAAGCTTGGAAAACACAGATGCAGTAGGCTTTGCAGGCTGATAATAACATGGTAAAGTTGGGAAGGAGAAGGAGTGGAAAAAACAATTAAGCATGATTCCTGGCTCAAGGTAACAGGCTGCTTTGTTTAAAGAGAGACACCCCATTGTTAAGGCAAAGGGAATAAATCTGTTCGAAGGCTTGTCAAAAGCTGTGACAATCTGAATTGTAAAAGAGGGGGGAATGGGGGGAGAGAATGATTGAGAGGAGCTAATTGTAAAAAAAAGGATGTGTCACGTCAAGTAGGAAGCAAGGGCTCTAAGAGGATACAGAAAAAAACCGCTTGATAAAGGATTGAGGCGTAACGGTGAGCCAACCGTGTGATGCAGCAGCGAGAAAAGCTAATGCCTTTCTAGGCTGCATTGACAGAAGTCTAGGGTCCAGATCCAGGAAGGAATAGTACTGCTCTCTTCTGCCTTGGTCAGACCCCACCTGGAGTCCTGGGTCCAGTTCTCAGTATCGCAGTTCAAGAAGCGTTTTAACCACAGTTCAAGACAGCAATGCTTCCGGACGCCAATTACTGGAAATGGCAGGAGAGGAGAGTTGCTCTTGTGTTCGAATCCCTGCTTGCTAGTTTCCCACTGGGGGCAACTGGGGGGCAATGCCAGAGCAGATGGGCCCCCTTGTGGCCTGATTCAGTTGTTGTTGTTTAGTTGTTTAGTCGTGTCTAACTCTTCGTGACGCCCTGGACCAGAGCACGCCAGGCACTCCTGTCTTCCACTGCCTCCAGCAGTTTAGTCAAACTCATGCTGGTAGCTTCGAGAACACTGTCCAACCATCTCGTCCTCCATCGTCCCTTTCTCCTTGTGCCCTCCATCTTTCCCAACATCAGGGTCTTTTCCAGGGAGTCTTCTCTTCTCCTGAGGTGGCCAAAGTATTGGAGCCTCAGCTTCAGGATATGTCTTTCCAAGACACTTACTGTATTTTGTTCTTATGACAAGCTGGAAGGTGTGCAGAGGAGGGCAACTAGAATGATCAAGGGCCTGGAAACCAAGCCTGATGAGGAACGGTTGAAGGATCTGGGCATGTTTAGCCTGGAGAAGAGGAGGCTGAGATCTTCACATATCTCAAGGGCTGTTCGGTTGAAATTGGATCAAGCTTGCGTTCTGCTGCTCCGCAGGGTAGGACCCAAACCAATGGATTCCAAATGACAATAAAGGGGATGACCCCAGTACATTTCCGAGCACAATTCAAAGTGTTGGTGCTGACCTTGAAAGCCATAAACGGCCTCGGTCCAGTATACCTGAAGGAGCGTCTCCACCCCCATCGTTCTGCCCGGACGCTGAGGTTCAGCGCCGAGGGCCTTCTGGCAGTTCCGTCCCTGAGAGAAGCCAAGTTACAGGGAACCAGGCAGAGGGCCTTCTTGGTGGTGGCACCCGCCCTGTGGAATGCCCTCCCATCAGATGTCAAAGAGAACAACAACTACCAGACTTTTAGAAGACGTCTGAAGGCAGCCCTGTTTAGGGAAGCTTTTAATATTTAACAGACCACTGTATTTTAATATTTTGTTGGAAGCTGCCCAGAGTGGCTGGGGGAAACCCAGCCAGATGTGTGGGGTATAAATAATAAATTTATTATTTATTATTATTATTATTAGGTTATGATGCTGGAGGAGACTCTTGAGAGTCCCATGGACTGCAAGAAGATCAAACCTATCCATTGTTAAGGAAATCATCCCTGAGTGCTCACTGGAAGGACAGATCCTGAAGCTGTGGCTCCAATACCTTGGCCACCTCATGAGAAAAGAAGACTCCCTGGAAAAGACCCTGATACTGGGAAAGATGGAGGGCACAAGGAGAAGGGGATGACAGAGGACGAGATGGTTGGACAGTGTTCTCAAAGCTACCTGCATGAGTTTGAC